TAACAATCCTGAAAAAGAATTTGTGCGATTTCTTGACTCCCAGTTGACGATTGTAATGATAATTAATTTACCAATTATGTTTTTGCATGAGTAATATCACAAAAAAGACATTTCAGACGCAAGGGTTGACCATAAAGTGGCAAAGGCTGTTGGAGAAGATGGATTGACGCCTGGATTTATTAAGTCAAATTGTGAATTCAATATACCACGTTTAAAGTTATATTTAATGAGATTCTTGACACGGACGTTTTTCCAGATTCGTGGTATATTATGGTATATATGTTTATGGGATGATAATCTCTTTATTTACATCTGGTAAAATCTTCTAAGCCAAATAATACAGTGGTATTTCTCTTGAATATTACAGGAGATCATTTTCTCATTGAAAGACGCAACACAACTTGGATAGAATAAATGTGTTGATATCGGAAGCTCAGGCTTCCATTACAGATAACTATTTCTTTTACAAGCTTTTGGTCTCCCAATATCTATGCAAATAGATTGATTTTGAAAGAAAGCCTTTGACTATGCGGGCAGAATTCTTTTTTATCAGATTTAAAGAACATATATTTGAATCAGACAACGCCTGTATCAAAACACATCTGGGAATGAGTGTGTGTTTTAATACTTTCCGTGGAGTCCGCCAAGGATATGTTTTAAGTCCCATACTTTTATTTTTTTCATAAATTAATTTGTAACTGAAGTATATTAGGATGAAGTATGTGAGCACGGAGCGTTTTGTTTCTCAAGAAATCATAGTTATCATGTTGCTATGTTCCCTCACTCTGTCATTGACATGCAGACAAAACTACATGTTTCACAATCGTTTTGTACCAAATGGATCTGGTAAATCTGGATAAAACTGTTGCTGTAGTATTTAGAAATGGGGGCATTATTACAAGACATGAAAAATATTTATATACGGCCTTTAAGGTACATTCATATGGATATAATATTCATATATTGATTATTTAGGACGATTTTATAGTGCTAGCTCACTGAGATACCATGTCGCAGTTTAAAATGGATATCCCACTCAGACACAGTATACTGACTACGAGCCTACCAGCCCTTGTTTGAACCCCTTAATGTCAAGTGCCAGGCAAGGTAATAACAAGTACCATCTTTTAACGTATTTTTGTATGACGCGGTCTGGGATCGAACCCCCGACCTTCCACTCTTCGGGCGGACACTCTACCACTAGAACACGGATGCTATCTTCCCGAGACAAGGGAGTTAACTGAGTACGAAGGTCCAGTTTCCACCCTTGCCGAACTAGGCTGGTATCATGGAGTTACATTTTGGCTGGACTGACGAGTTTTTGCATAGTCCAATCAAAATCGCGCAACGGAATCGAAATCCGGTTCGTAAACTGTCATACAGATTTCGGTCGATTGCAGGATTTGTAAAGCATGTGCACCACCAACTTGTTGTCAACAGATATTTTCCCAATCTTTTCATGTTTTTAGTCAAGGTGCTCACGTGATTTGATGCACTTCGCGATGTACAACCCGTTTTATCACAATATAGATTTTGATTATCGATCAGATCGTCTTGACTTGGCTCCGCCATTTGGTTTGAAGCAAATGCAAGTGATATGGGGGGTGGCATCTAATTGGTCCATAGGAGAGGCTTAGAAGGGACAAAACTCGCAATAGCCTCTGGTGGCGCTACGATCGACCCCAGGGATTCCAGCCTAGTTTGGCAAGGGTGGAAACTGGACTTTTAAAGTAAGTTAACTCTCTTGCCTCGGGAAGATGGTGTGTCTGCATCTGCATGAGTGCCTGTCTTTGTGCCAGCGTCTATGGTGAGTGAGTATGGTTTTACTCCAGCAATATCACGACGGGGGACACTAGAAATGGGCTTCACGTATTGTACCCATGTGGGGAATCGAAACGGGGTATTCGGCGTGACGAGCGAACCCTTTAACCACGAGGCTACGTTTGTTTATGTGTACCAGTATTATTTAATCGTTCTAGTATGTTGTCTTATGTAAAACTACAATCTGTTGCTCTCTCCTACCATTCAAACAATTTTTGTGAAGAATTTATTTCCGACCGTGCAGTTTTGTGATTTATGTATTGTCAGTTGATGGATTATAAAGCTCTTGTGTGTGGCGTCAATCCCAACTTCTTGAACTTGCAACGTTCATTCATGAAAGAAAGGTTATCACATAAAGGAAAGAAAAGTGTCCTCGAACCAATCTATAAAACAGGTATCACCATTCGTGAATCACTTCTTTGCTCATGGACACAGATGCGATGCCTGCTTGCTCAGTAAAGTATTGACTAACTTTGCCAATGTTTAGACGGGGGTTCCAGATGTTTTGGAGATTCAACAAACATGGGAACAAGTTATAAATAGGGCGGTTCGCTTATATTTTGCATTCATAACAGGTTTCCAAAGCGACTTCACTGACTGCAATAACTCTTATACATCGAACTGTATAAGAATGGCATTGTATGAAAAAGAAATTATTACCTACCGCATGGTAAATATTATATATTTGGAATAACATTCTCTATGTAATGGTACAAATACCATTGTTATTCATCAAAAGTAAACTTCCGAGCAAAAGAAAGTATACTCTTGAAAATTGGATGTGAACAAAAATGACAAACTTTATCAAAACGTTTCAAGGCTAAAAACAGTCGCCGAAACACTGCAAACTTAAGATCCAAGACATAACCATGATGCCCCTATCAAATACATCACTATCCAATAACCATGTTGTGGTTTCATTACACCCAACATAAAACATGGGTGTATATACTTTCTTTTGTCCGGCAGTTTATTTCCGAATTCGATAATAAAATTACAAAAGACTTAAGTCGTATGACTTCAGTTTGTATTCCTCGTTTTGGTTGTATTTCTAAATTAAACACAATGGGTGTTTACACGATCAAAATGTGAACGAATGAATGTAACAAATGTAGTCCTGCAGTGGTCAGGTTTCACAGTCAACCAATCAAATGCATAGAATGTCTGAACGTGTTATATGCACATTGTGCAAATATCAGAGATATGCACACCGATGTTTTATAGCTGGGATTCTTACCCTGATATAAATGTTATATCGCGTTATCTTCGATCTTCGAAGGCAACAGTTGATGAAGAATGTGCGAAGAATGAGATGGCGGTATGACGCAGTCTGAACAAACAAGGACAAGAGTTACCTCTATGCCACCATGCCACGCTCGTGACGTCATTAACGCCCCCGCCGCCCCCGCCTCCAGTATGTCATTCCTTTAACGTCTTGCCAACTAATGGGAAAGGATTTGTTTGTTTGTTGTTTAACGTTGCACTCAGCAATATTCCATCTATATGACGGCGGTCTGGAAATAATTGAGTCTGGACCAGACAATCCAGTGATTGACATCATGAGCATCGATCCACGCAATTGGGATACGCTGACACGCATCAACCAAGTCAGGGAGCCTGACCACCCGATCCCGTTAGTCGCCTCTTACAACAAGCATAGTCGCCTTTTACGGCAAGCATGGGTTGCTGAAGACCTATTCTAATCCGGATCTTCCAGGGTCAAATTGGAAAGGAAAGCAAATAGAAAACAGATGTTTTGTTTGCACATATGCATTTCATTTGATACACTGAATGAATATCAAAGATAAGACAAATACAACCCTTCAACTCTTATTACAACTCTCAATGTCATATTCAACAACATACAAAACTTTACAAAAATAACTCTATCAATAGTTTTCAGTGCAAAGATAACTTCAACTATCGACACCAGGCATCCTTGTAGTCGTTGTTAGTTGTTAGTCATCGTATTGACTCCCCACAATCATAACCCGCAATGTGTTCATCATTACTAAGGCACAGCGGCATGCAGTTGTGCGTCTGTTGCGATGCTTTGCAGGGTACATGTCAAGAGCACAAAATACAAACACTATTTGTTTGGTCTTTGAGATCGAGTGCCAACATAGCAAGAGCCTGGTGAATGCACTGTGGCGATCGAGAGCAGAGTTGCAACATAGCAAGAGCATGATGTCTGGTGTGTGTCGATCGAGAGCAGAGTGCCAACATAGCAAGAACATGATGTCTGGTGTGTGGCGATCGAGAGCAGAGTGCCAACATAGCAAGAACATGATGTCTGGTATGTGGCGATCGAGAGCAGAGTGCCAACATAGCAAGAGCATGATGTCTGGTGTGTGGCGATCGAGAGCAGAGTGCCAACATAGCAAGAGCATGATGTCTGGTGTGTGGCGATCGAGAGCAGAGTGCCAACATAGCAAAAGCATGATGTCTGGTGTGTGGCGATCGAGAGCAGAGTGCCAACATAGCAAGAGCATGATGTCTGGTGTGTGGCGATCGAGAGCAGAGTGCCAACATAGCAAGAGCATGATGTCTGGTGTGTGGCGATCGAGAGCAGAGTGCCAACATAGCAAGAGCATGATGTCTGGTGTGTGGCGATCGAGAGCAGAGTGCCAACATAGCAAGAGCATGATGTCTGGTGTGTGGCGATCGAGAGCAGAGTGCCAACATAGCAAAGCCTGGTGTGTTGTTTGTGGCGATCGAGAGCAGAGTGCCAACGTAGCAAGAGCCTGGTGTATGGTGTGTGACGATCGAGAGCAGAGTGCCAACATAGCAAGAGCCTGGTGTATGGTATGTGTCGATCGAGAGCAGAGCGCCGACATAGCAAGAGCATGATGTCTGGTGTGTGGCGATCGAGAGCCGAGCGCCAAATAGCAGGAATATGATGTCTGGTGTGTGGTGATCGAGAGCAGAGCGCCGACATAGCAAGAGCCTGGTGTATTGTTTGTGGCGATCGAGAGCAGAGTGTCAACATAGCAAGAGCCTGGTGTATGGTATGTGTCGATCGAGAGCAGAGCGCCAATATAGCAAGAACATGATGTCTGGTGTGTGACTACCAAGAGCAGGGCGTCATGTCAAGCGATACGGCATTGCAGCAGTTTATTCCGTCCCGTGTGTTTCGACCTCGAATATCCTGCTGTACCGATGCCAGTGATATTGCAGTCTCATCGTTCAGGCGGGCGGCACGTAAACAGCGCCAATATCTCTTTCCGCACCTGTTTGCTCATAACTCCGTACACAATAGGGTTGGTCACGCTTCCGAGAAGGAAAATATATCTGAAGGTCAGGTTCTCAATCGATGCGAAGACATCAATCCAGAAAGGCACCCACACTAAGACGTAGATCAGGGTGCACACAAACAGCATGGTCCCTGTCTTGCTGTTTCTCGGTTGTGTTGTCTGGTGCTTATCGCTTCGTGGCGATAGTTTCCCCACTTGGACGGAATAAATAGGCAACACCTGTAGGTGTTTGGATTTTGGGGTGTCCACTTCTGGTTCCGCGTTGGTGCTGGTGCCTTTGTTGATTGCGTGCCTGGTGTTCAACGTCGTCTTGGACGTGGATGGCGCGTTGGACTGGTCACTCAAGTCGGTCATTCGGACGGGGCCCACGCGGTTCTGACGCCAGTGGGATCGTTTCAGCACAACCCGATACACAAGAGGATATATGACAGAAAAAATCAGCAACCCCACGACGAAACCCAACAGCAATATCCCCTGATACACCAAAGATCCAATATCCCCGAGGGTGTCTGTTGTGAAGTGACAGTATTCCATTCCTTTAACCGTGTCCATACATTCTGTCTCTTGCGTCGTAGTGACGTCACGTCCGGTCAGATTGTGTGTACTTCCGGTGTCAGGTACGCAGACGTCCTTATAGACCTTAAATACAGTTGCAGCAGGAAAGGCAAGTGCAATGCTGATAATAAATCCTACGATAACAATAATCCGAAGACGTCCATAGCGTAGACGCTTCAAAGGTTTACATACGGCGAAATACCTTTCTATGGCAATCGATACCAAAATCATGTTAGAATACACCACCAGAACATGCCTGACCACCTCCACCAAGCGGCAGACGAAGTCGACCCGGATCAGGTGCATCTCGAACACGATGGTGTAGGGTATGATGACCGCACACACAGTCAGGTCAACAACACTCAATATCTTAATGAATAACGTGTGAGTCAGCTTGACGCGCTCCCTGAAGTACACGATACTGATCAGTATGTTTCCAGCTGTACCAACCACTGCATAGAAGCTGAGCGTCACAATGAACGGCATAAAGCTTACAAGTTCCGTCGACATGGTCGAGCTATTGGTGCACTGGCTTCTTCAGACAGCGGTCTAGCTCATCATTTTCATCTACAATAAACCACGTTTATAACGAACACGCTTATAACGAACTGATCGATAAAACGAACTTATTTTTTAGTCCCGGACACTTGTTGTATATATGCTGTATGTATGCATATAACGAACTGCGGTTATTACGAACTAAAATTAGTGGGCTCTTTGAGTTCGTTATAACCGTAGTTTACTGTATTGGGACATGACTTAAACCAGACAGTTGTCGAACTCGTCTTACTTCGATTAGTGAGGACGGTCTACTGGGAATGTACGTCAAACTATGCGACTGTCTGATGAGACATTAACGCTCTTACAAGAAACGTTACTCGGTGTTAATCCTGTATTTACCACTGGCAGATTCCATACAATGTACCAAAACAGTGTTCAAGTTGTCCGATATCTTCTTACATACAAACTTCACAGCTGCTGGAATGGGAAGGATGGGTTCACTTTTGAAAATGGTCGACCCATTCACTGTTGCGGTGGCACTGTGGAGAAGTGTACACATGATTCCACACATTGGCGACTTGAAACACACACTTCATCAGTCAGCGTCCTCTTCAGAAGTGCATCCAGCTTTCAGAGTACCAGTTGACAAATGTTGATACGTGTCATCGCCCTGTAACCAAGATATACGTATAAGATTCACGATAGGTTGCAATTAGGTACAGCACGCATCGTCTCTTTTAAAAAACAAATAACAGATGCGTTATATTCAGATATTGATAGTATAAACAGAATTCAATCTTGACGTCAAAGACAGGTGTTGCTCTGTGCTAGTTTTTATTGAAGACGGACGTTAGGTATGTCAATGTTAATAACAATAGAGAAACCCGCAAACGGTTGAAAATCGTATCACAATTGCGTAGATTGGTGCTCATGATGTCAATCACTGGATTGTCGAGTTCAGACTTGATTATTTACAGACCGCTGTCATATAGCTTGAATATTGCCATGTGTGGCGTTCAAAAACAAACAACCAACCTGCACTCTGTCACTTATAATCCGGTATCTCCGCTGTGCAAGCAACATCATTCGGTCTGAGTTTAAATACAGTCCTTACTGTTTTAGGAAAGGGATAATCAGTGCCATCGCCAAAGCTGTTCACGTTAAAAGACAGTTAAAAGGAAAAAAAACGACTGCTATTTTTGCGAATATCAGTTTTTCTAAATACATTTCGTCAATTTTCGAGAAAATTCATATTATTGGTGGAAAGAATGTAAATGTCCAAGTAAATGAGTGGTAATAACACACTCCGTAAATGACGTCCTATTTGGGGGCGTGGCCTAAAGCTACCGGCGCAGCGGTGACGACTGTTTTCATTGGGTGATACTTTTGCTGCCTTCATCTATTATCTATCTTAGCCGTTATACATATACTATTTCTGCTATTTATATTAATTCTACAAAAAATATAACAAAATTGCATTTTTTGTTAAATGAAACGACATTTGATCCTGAAATTGTGAATAAATAAAATAACAATTAACAATCCGTAACCAGCGTATTATTACTTACATCCTGTTTGGTTACCAAACCACTGGCTGCCCTCGGCCCTATTCCACACAATAAGTGCCTGTCAGGGATTAATCCCCTGAGTAAACAACTGAAAACATCTTCCGTGTTGCTATTGAGGTGATATATGTTGTGGATACGGTATTAAAATAAACATTTAAAAGACAATGTATTACAAAAATTCCGAGGCAGAAGCAGGAAGACTGGGCTTCGGCTCAATCGTCATGATCGTTGAAATTGCTCTGCACCGCGAACCCATCTTAACCTCCACTGAGGCGAATCCCCATAATGGAGGAAGTTTTCGTTTGGGGGACGATTTCGCGTGTCGATTTTTTATCGTCTGTCTTACGCTATTCCCTTTTTCAAATTTCATTTTGGTCCAGCATTTGTGGGGGCACGGTGGCCTAGTCGTCTAAGGCGCCGCGATTCGCTGTGCAGAGTTGCGTCCCTTGGGCACGCCATAAACCTATGATTGTGGGTTCGAATCCCGGTTCGCCCCGATTATGCTTCTAGGTTCGTCAACACCATACCCGTCTGAGACCTGCATCACTTGGGGCTTGCCTCCGACATTAATCTGACAAGCCGTGATATGACTGGAATAATGTTAAAAGCGGCGTTAAACCCAACTCACTCACTCACTCACTCACTCATTCACTCACTCAAGCATTCCTGATTGAGTATGCCCTAAAGTATTAAAATATGCAAAGTTGCTGTAATGTTGCCACCCAACACTGAAGATGTCCAAGACAACATCTACTTGAATATTGTGTAAGTGATGGCTTCAAACCAAGGGCAAAGGTCACCTTTAGGATCTGAACTTTGATCTACACACAACGTTTTAGGCTAGATTGGTATACGGAATGTTGTTGTTGTTGTTGTCACTACGCCGGGGTCACCACGCCGTGATATAACCGGAATACTGTTAAAAGCGGCGTTATCCCAACTCACTCACGCACTCGTGGTCACACATGAAAGGTCATTTTGGAACTTTTTCTCATAATGAATCACGAGACTTTGTTGGAGTAAACAGGCACACAACATTCTTCCAATTCACTATGCATTTTAAGTATCACATTACAAGTATCATTGTATCATATTATTCAGTAACAAAGACCTAACTGCAGACATAGAATCGAGCTTTGTTTTTTCTTGGCAAGTATTAGTTCACTGATTGAGGTTCCCTGGAATAGGTCTATGAGCGTGATATCCACACAAACAAACATTCAGCGTGTCGAATGGTTCTAGGTTAGACGAGTTGGAAGGATATCTAGATTTACTTTTGATGTACACCTTCGAAACATGTGTTGTGTCACTGCATCCGAATGTGTTTGTTTTTTTTTATCACGATTACACGATGACCTCGAGCTGAACTGTCTCTATCAAACACAAAACCTATATCACACACAATCTTCAACATCATACACAACCTGCAATATCACACAATCTATATCACACCCATCTACAAAATAACACATAACCTACAATATCAGACACAACCTGCAATATCACACACAATCTATATCACACACAACCTACAACATCACACACAATCTACAATATCACACACAATCTATATCGAACACAATCTACAATATCACACACAAATACAATATCACACACGTAATCTATATCACACACACAATCTATATCACACACAACCTACAATATCACACACAACCTACAATATCACACACAATCTACACTATTACACACAGCCTACAATATCACACACCACCTACAATATCACACACAATCTACAACATAACACACAATCTACAATATCACACACGATCTACAACATAACACACAATCTATATCGAACACAATCTACAATATCACACACAACCTACAATATCACACACGCAATCTATATCACACACAACCTACAATATCACACACAACCTACAACATCACACACACAATCTATATCACACACAACCTACAATATCACACACAATCTACACTATTATACACAGCCTACAATATCACACACAATCCACAATATCACATACAACCTAAAAGATCACACACAATCTACACAGCCAATATCAGAGCCTCTGTCACACAACCTACACTTGAACCCTATAGCTGACAGACTGAATGCTTCTATCACACGCAATCTACAATATCACACACAATCTACAATAGCACACACTATTCTCATTGAACATCTCTGGGATCATCTTGATCGTCAGCTGAGACAACATGTACCGCCTCCAGCGAACCGACAGGAACTTGAACAGACTCTATTGAACTTATGGAACAGGATTCCTGTTGACGTTTTCCGCCGACTGACGACGTCAATGAGGAGGCGTGTGTTGGCGTGCATGGATGCCCAGGGCGGTCACACTCGCTATTGATGACGTGTTACCTGACTACCGTGTCATTAACGGACTCTTCATGCACTTTTTCAATGAGCTCTGATTTGTGTAATTTTTTTATTTTGACCCCTTGATTCTTTCTTTGTGTATTGCGGAGAATGCAATATCGGCATTACAAAGCATTTTCATTCTAATTCATGGAAAACGATTTCTGTTTGTAAATTAATCATCATAAATCTCACATTTGCCTTTGTTTTATGTGTTTGGTCAAGTGAAGTCGGTGAAAGCTTTCTTTTTCCCGGTAGTTTATTTAATGCACATAAAACGACAAGAAAGTTAAGAATAAAGCTAATAACATCAAACGAGATGCAAAATCATTATTATGGTTGCATTATCAAATCTAAAGTATTTATTTCCACAATCGAAACTTAAATATCGCTGTACATATAAACCATCAACACCTAGTTAATTGTATTCATTAAAATGCTTTTCATCGTGATTGAATCAATAAATAAACTAATTTCCTTTACAGATGACGTCACTTGGAGGCTCCTTGCCAGAGTACCGCATCCCAGAGTTCAGAAGGTTTAGGTCAACCGAAGTATGACGTAAATCAGTTAACATAAATTAACATTGGTCAACCAATGTTAACTTGGATGTCACATTGGTCAACACGGGTTCACCTCGGTTTTCAAACCGAACGCAAGCAGAACCAGACCAAATTCTGTTGCACAAAGTACCCATCAATACTTTATCTCACCTTCCGCTAAACTTGGTCAGCAGGCGCAACCTTTAAGCGAGACAAGCTCCCATTACGGAAAAGCTACATCATGGGACACTGATCAAAACAGAGTGTTTTGCTTGCGGCTCTTGACATGGGTGGATTCTTTTGAACTAACACCCGTCTTACCATGAAAGTTATTGTTACAAATATTCAATTAGACGTGGCTAGGAAAAAGTATTTGATTTACTCTACTGTAGTGTTTGATAAACGTATAAATAATAAAACGTATATTTCTTCCTTACGTTATGTTTGCATTGTTTTTTCATCGTGAATCGATCATTAATAGTTTACCGGTTATTGAAATTTGTCATAGCAATTTCTTGTGGTATCCGTGTTTAG